TGCTGATTTACACATTGTACAGCATGTGTTCACAGCACCTGCTATGTATTTATACACTGCATCGTGATAATCTTGGTGCCACAACTTGCAGAGGTTTTTTTTTTCTCAGCTGCCATTCTTCTTTTTCCCACAGTCATATGAGAGCCGTGCATGTGTGCCGTCCCATGTCGTGAGCTAGATTTCAGCACACATTAGAGGAACTATGTTTGACAGTCAGCTGTTGGGATTTGCAGGAGTAGAGATCTGTGCATTCCACCCAAGGGCCTCCATGTGGAGTCCCTGTCACCTGCTCCCAGCCACAACCCAATCGCTGGGGGAAAACCTTGAACAAACACACATGCAGGCTCGTGTTCTGTTGTGGAAAATGTCACCATTGCTATAGAGAGAATTTCCTTTCAGCTCCAATTCCAGCAGCTATGACTGTGAGCTCCATTATGATCAAGTCTTGTAGGAATAAAGATGGTCCAGGCAGGAGACAGGAGGGATTACATCACCCAGTACGAGTGGCCGTTAGCTCTCAGTCAGCCCTGTACTGTACATTTGAACCTTAATGCTTCAGATCATGCACGTAATCTGCTGATAACATTAATCACTTCTGTGCAAAAATGACCCCGGCGTGCAGACTACTATAATATCATTGCAAAGACAACAGGTCAGGTGCAGCTCTGCAGATATGGAGAAAGCAGAAGGGAAGGAGGGAGAGGGAAGGGTTGAGGCAGACAGTAGGGAGAAGAAACAGAGATGGAGAGTACAGGAGGGATGGTGAAGGGAAGGAAGGGAGGGAGGGAGGGAGGACAGCTCTTACCCCGGCGTGCCTGCTTTATCTTGGGGCTCAGCATGGTTACGGTTTCTCTCTCTCTCACAGAGACATGACTGCATCCCTCTGTTCACACACTCACACACTCTGCTGCTGGTGCCTCGCCCTGTTACTCCTCATCCTCCTTGAGCATCTCTCTCCACCCCAGCTCACTGTCTTGTACTTGGACGCTGTCTCCATGTGATTTCACACACACACATACCGCACACACACACATACACACACTTACAAGCACTTAACCACTCACTCTCCTCCTCTCCCCTCTTTCCACCTCATTCTCCATCTCTGCCCGACATATCCGGTGTGCTGTTGTTCTCACATACCCACAGCCCTGCCCATTCTCTCGCTCTCTCTCCCTCTCTGTCTCTCTCTCTTTCTCTTCTTCTCCCACTCTCCTTTTGCTCTCTCTCTCTCTCTCGCTCTGCCTTCTGCTGCACATTCAGTATCAATTTCTCTGTCTATAAATATCTTTGGCAGTCAGCCCCTCTGTCTTATCACTCTTTTTTTTTTTACCTTGGCCCACCAACATCTACCCCAGTCTTCACATCTCTTCAACCAGTTTGTTCACAAAGATATTCAATACAACCTCAGATCAATACATTAGATTTAACCAAGTACATTTTCCCTGAACACACGGCCATGTGGCCATTGTGTGGTCTCCACTTTTTTTTACCCACTGCAGATGAATAAATGCAGGGCTCGGCTAACAAGCTGTGACTTGTCCAGGTTGTAGATTTTTGCATAATGTGATTGGAAATGCCAGACTGCTCAGTCACCTCGCCAATCTCGCCAAGTGGAAGGCACAGTACCCAAGGGTGTGATGTTCCAGTTCGACTTCTGTATCAGAGGGATGTGATAAAAACAGATAAATACTGCGGTTTGAGCAGTAGCTGAGAGAGAGAGAGAGAGAGAGAAAGAGAGAGAGAGAGAGAGAGAGACTTGGATCCTGGTCCAGTCAACAGATAATCTGCTGATTATTCTTTACCAATTTTGCAAGACCTCAGCCTCTCCTGTTAGTAGCAGACAATTATTATTATTATTATTATTATTATTTTACCTTTTATGACCTTTTCTAATATTCTTTTCACTTTGTCCTGTATATACTTGGCAAACAACAGATTCTAATTCTGAGTTCAGTTCCTTCCATCAACTTATATTTCCTATTGGCCTCTTGACGTTGTGTCTTTAACAGATTTCTTGCCTGGAAATCATTAAGTTTGTCCTTTCTTACTAGTTTTCTTTCTTGTGTTTGTTAAATCGCTGTTTTGTCAGGGTTTGTTTTTCCATAACTACATCTTCCATAATTCATGTTGCCAGAGTCCTGGCAAATAGAAATATCAACAAATAATCCCATAATGTCCAAGAAGAGAACAATGGAGCCAACAGGAAGGCAATTAAACAAAAATGGGAAAGTGATTATATGTTTGTAATTCAAGGGGAAAACCCAGTTTGTCCTCTGTGTCATGTGATGGCAGTGCTGTAGATATCAATGTCTTGTTACCAAACACATAGATATTTGTGCTAAATTTAACCTCCAAGACAAATGGCAAATTGTCTTTGAAAATTAAAAAGGAAACTGCCAATCCAGCAGCGGATGTTCACCAGAGCTACAGCCAAATATGAGGTGGCAGTTAATACCAGCTTTACCGCAGTCTGTTCAAATTAAAATTTCTGATTAAAGCATGGTCAGCACTAGATGTTCAATTAATGTTAATCCTGTTTGGCCCGCAGCTTAGACTGTGTTTTAAATCTCAGCTGGTTTATTGACAACACTGATTTAAGGAACGCAGCTTAGACTGTGTTTTAAATCTCATCTGATTTATTGACGATACTTATTTAAGGACAGGAAATATTTGCAAAAGTACAAAACGACTGTGATTCCATCATGGTTCGTTGTAATGTTCAACATGTGGATATGTACTATCTGGACCAGTTGTAATGTTCAACATGTGGATATGTACTGTATTATCTGGACCAGCCGCCCAGTTGGATAGTAGGGGGCTCTATCCACTTATTAGAAACTGGAAATATCTAAATATAATATATATAATAGTATTTAGTAATCGTAAAATTAAATGAGTGTTCCAACAATTAATATTTTTGCCAAAAAAAAGGTTTTTACCTGACAATTCCTTTGGTTAGTCGCTGGTCTGAAGAGTGCCATATGAGATCATTTTAGGAAAAAACATTTGCAGCACGGATCCTTCTCTGTTGAGTCCATTCCTAGAGCCACTCAGGTTTTCAAGAATGGCACAGCTGAAGAGTCAGCCCGATGATCCATTGTTGAAATGCACATACCTAAAAAGAAAGGACTACTATACTTGCCATCAGCGAGTCAATGATAGTGAGCCTGAGGAATGCTGATGTCAACAGATTCTAATGGAAGGCAGAAAATCAAGACAGCCATGAGAGTGTTGTTTTTGTTTTCCCCAAATAATCTGGGATGCGCAGACCTGCCGACTCTCAGGCTGGAGTTAATAATAATAGAAACATCACTTCATCCTGCAGTGATCGGCAGTGTAATGGTGAAACGAAACACAGCTGTACGATACTCTGCTCCTAGTCTTCCTAGTCATAGAAATACTCACTCACTCACTCAGTCTGTCAGTCTGTCTGTCTGTCACTCAGGAAGTCAGCTGCCAGGATGGAGAAGTGAAAAAAGCTGATTCTCTTAAAATAGCTGTACTGTAAAAAAAGATAAAAGAAAAAGAAAACTACAGGTCAACTTCTTCAACCTTTTACTCATTGACCCAAAGGAACCATCACAGAGAATATCTGTCTGAACAGACAATAGTTAGTTAAATGTTTTTTTATTTAATTCCCTGACATTAACACCAATTTGGCACAAACAATGTGTGAACAGCGTCAACAAACACAGACTATGTCAGTCAGGAAAATCAACAGGTGATTACACACAATAATACTGACACACATGAAGAAGAAACACTGTAACGATACTTCCATGGTTACTAAATGATGTATCACATGAATGAAGTGTGTGTGTGGGGGGGCCCTGGGGGGTATCATCTATAATCTAGAAATATGGTCATGAAGGACACATAGGAAATGAGTGTGTGTAATTAGGAGGTAAAATAAGAACATGTCCCATTAGTGGGAGAGGAGGAAGTGTCATGGTGCAAATGGCTGTGAGCAGGTCAAATAATGACCGTGATTAGGAACAAAGACGTTTGCTGCTCCTGCTACGTTACACTGCATTATGACCACGATCACAGTCGAGTCAGTTATTAATGATTTTGAAGACATTGATCGTGGTTCTTAAGTAAAATCTGGACATTAAGCCGAAGCAGGAACAATAACAGTTGATCTATGAATGTATTAAAATGTTTTTATCATAGATCATATATTTGAAATGGGTTTTACAGTTAAGTCAGATTAAGCCAGAAGTGCTCACTAATATCTCACATAATATCGGTTAAGAAATGTTATGGTTTTATTTGCTGGTTCTAGTCATAAAAAAAATAACAGACAGCTCTGACATTTTACGCTGTAAATGTTTCTTAGCTTCTCTTAGTATTTGTAGTTTGCAACTCCACAAATATATCAATTTAATATATACTGTAGTCTGTGAAACATTCATGTTAAAATACTGTTTTAAAAAAACCCAGTAGTAGATTCTTCTAAAAACTACAAAACTGTGTAACTACTAGTAGCTAACATTATAATCAAACAATAAAATATTTTTTACAACAACTGATAAAAACAAGACTACTACCATTGCTATTAAAAAAAATTACAGCAAAGAATGTTCTTTACAGTAGTCTCATGTGATGTGACAACTGCCCATCTTACAATTCTATGTATTATTGCTGTTTTGGTTTTTAAATGATTACAGCTGTTTTCTCCTCTCCCGTTTGTACCTTTCCAACCCGTCTTTGTCCGTCCAGCAGAAAAGACAAAAAAACAAGTGAACGTTGCCAAAGTGACCGCCGACGGTCCGAGCTTTCGCACCTCCTGAAGTACGTCGTACCTCCTGTGGAGACTGCTTCAAACTGCTCCGTGAGAAGCCACACCTCCCACAGAAGTGTCAGCACGTTCATCACCATCATGACCGCTACCCAGAATTCCTCTCCTAACAAAGTGAGCCACAGTGACAAACTGTGACCTCCCGACGGCACCTTTTTAAACAGGTAATTGGCTGCTGTGGCAGCGAACAGAAGGTGAGCAATCACCATGGAGAGGATGAAGAAGAGGAAGAGCCGGTGGTTTCCCTGACCCACGCACTGGTTCAGGAAAAGGCAGTGATGATCGTACTCTTTGATGCAAGCCTCACACAGCTTACAGTGTTTAGTGAAGTCAGGCTGAAACAACTGAGGAAAGGAAAGACAAATGGTCAGGGTATTGATCTGTGTCCATGACTTTCTGAGGAAAGGAAAGACAAATGGTCAGGATATTGATCTGTGTCCATGCAAACATACTGTAGTGTAGCTTTGACTTCAGGTGAACTGTACAGTATATGAGTCAGGGTTTTACCTCACAGTATGGACAGAACCTTTGAGGGCTCTGGTTGTTCTCCACGAGGTCTGCAATACAGGAGAGCCGAGAATCTGCATCTGCTCTGTGCAGTGTCCCAGGGTCCTTCGCCAAAACTCTAAAGAACAAAATGAGGACTATGGCGAAGTGCACTATTGTTACGTGCAGCAGAGCACTGTTGGACCACACACATTCAAAAGGGTCAAGGATGCAAACCACAAATATAGGTATATATCAATACATTTCTGATAATGAAACTGATTGGGAAAAAAACAACTAGTAGCACTTTGCAGTTTTGTGTAAACTGTAGTGAAATTGAACCATAATCTAGTCATAGGTAAGTGATAGTAAGTATGGTGAAACAGTTGCAATGTAAAAGATTTTCTCTGGTTTTTCAACCAGGATATTAGGCATGAGTTTTCCATAGAAGCAGAGCAGTGAATGGAACATCCCAGCTATAAGTGTCCCCAGGTAGACAGGGTTAGGTAACCTGAAAAAAAGACACATATTGTAATGAAAAAGCAAATCTTTTGCTGAATGTTTATTACATAATATTTGTCAAACCTTAAATGTGTGGTCATGCGGTGGTACTGTAAGAAGATGCTTTTGGCCAGCCAGGGGAAGAGGAGGCAGCAGATTAGTCCGCCGTAGCTCCCCAACATGGCTGCTATTAGAAGAATGGCTGCTCCACTCACAGTGGGAAACAACAGTGTCCAGTAATACAAAACTGTTGTTTTAAGAAGACAAACAAAAATCAATCAGACACATTTTAAAACAGTTTAAATGCTTGTTTTAACTGGTTTTATAAGCGACTCTAGTAAATATATATATGTGTGTGTGTATATATACCATGACACTCTCTTGGCCTGCAGTGTATTGGCTCTGTTTTGTGCCGACTCAGGAGCTTGGTAAGTTGCTGATGTCTGGAGAAAAATACAATAAGTCCATGTGTTAATCAGCATCAAAATCCCTGGAGGAAAAACAGCATACATCTGAAAATGCATGTGGTCTGTTCAACCCAAAGACACTGAGGGAGGTTACAGTCCCCTTAGATTTGATTGGATTTTAAATGAACAGCCGATTCACCTAAATGTTGTTCCCTGTCTGCTGAGATCCAGTGGCGTGAGGCCGCTGTGATTTTTCAGATGGATCATCCCGCATCCTGTTCTCTGCAGCAGTATCCAACACACCTCTACACCGCCCCTCTCTGCTGCGACGTGAAGCGCCGTCGCCCCCTGATGGTCAACTGCATCCACGGCGCATCTCTATGGCACAAGCAAAAGCGGAACCGCGGTGTAATTTAAGGTGTAATCGATCACTGTCTCGATGTTTAAAGATGACTCTGCTCCTCTCTGTAGGTAAATGTATAAATGAAGATCACTTTAAAGGGAAGCAGACAGTGAAGCACAGCACATAAAAGAGGACAACACGTAATTGATTGCCAGCAAAGTCCAGAAGGAATCCTGACTCCAGGTTAATGATTTATCTATCTATTTTTTATACATGAGCTGCAGAAGAACTCAACACACACTCAAAGAATTATCAAAAGCCAAGCTAAAGGCTTTTACATTTATACATGAATCCATCAAAATGTCAGTCATCAGACAATGACGTTTCACACCAATAATAAGTGCATTTATTTTTTAACTGTAAATATTTTTATAGTGCACATTTATTTAGATGACAATGACTGCACTTTACATCCTCTGCTGCTTCGTTCTTTTCAGGATTGTCAATTGCCAATCCCAGCAGTCACTGCATGAGACAAGTTACACCCTGGATAATGCAGCTACAGCATCGCAGGACACATGGAGATAAGTAACCATTCAAACTCACACTCACACCTATCCTCAGTTTGTAGAGGGAGGAGATCCTTTTGCTGTAAGGCAGGAAACCTGATCCTATTTCCTCACCATGAATACCCTAAAATCACATGGACGTTTCTCCCTGGCTGCTTCCTCCAGAGGTCACCTCAACTGATCACCTGCCTTTCTCTCATCCTTATCTCTTTCCTCATCTACTGTTACACCAACCTTCTTATCAGCATCTCCAGATTGCTCAGTTTACTCTCTTTGGTTTCTATTTGACATCAACAAAGATAATACCCTGTGTGATGCACAGTTATATACTGCAGTAAATAAAAAGAGTAAAGAACACCTACCCCTTCTTTAAGCAGATAACAGATCATCTCTGTGTTGCCAGTAGAGGCCGCCAGGTGAAGTGGCGTCACCTGGTACATGTCAGCATCTGAGAACCGGAACATTCCTGTCTCCCATAAATAGTGCACTGCAATACTGATAACCATATGGTACAGTAAGCCTTTGTCGAACGATTAACGTGGAACACTTGAGTAATGTTAACATTAATAAACACTCACATGTTACCTCCAGTGACTGCATGATGCAGGGACGATTTTCCCTGCAAGTCTATGACGCGTAGATCCGCTCCGTACTGCATCATCTGGTGGATGATATAGATGTTACCCTGCCTGGTTAGAGTTCAAAGGGAAATATATAAATGCAGAAAGTTAGTTAAAGAACAAACTAGTCCTGACACGTTAGTACAAATATTCAAGGTTCAGGGTTTAGGATTTACATCTGGTCCTGAAATTACATGTTGTCGTTGAATGGAAACATTTACCGGTGGAAAATAGACCCACCAGGTGGCAGCATTGCGATTCATAGAATGACGCTGCAGATGAAACCCAAAGAAGAAGGAGATACAGAAGGCATGGGCCATGGTCAAGATAAGATCAGTGACTGATGCAGTTATAAAGAGCTGGGATTTGCTGTTTCTGTAGCAAAGATAGATCATCAACTGGATTTTGTTAAATTATTGACGGTGGTGAAAAGTCAAAAAAAGGTGTAAGGACATCACTGACCCCCTTCCCGCTCCCCCCCAACCTCCACCACTGTGATTAGCCAATCATGTATTTCAAAATAAAAGCATCAACTGGTAGGACAGAGTAACTTGTAATGTTGTACATTTACCACAAAAGCGCTGTTGTTTACCTGCAGGCAAAATGGAAGGATGTCTGTCCTGCATCACATGTCAGGTTGGGGTCAGCTCCATTACTGAGGAAAAGGTCGACCAGTGCACGGTTACCATGAAGAGCAGCGTAGTGGAGCGGGGTGAAACCGCCCCAGCCTGTAATAACGCAAATGTAAACACATGAAAAAAACTTGAGGATTCGCTGCTTAAAGTTGTCGCAACTGTATTTACACTAATCCTAGAGAGAAGCTGCAGAGGTATTTAAGCTTCACTAAAATAACATTAATATGAACTAAAGAATAGTACATGATGTCATTACATTTCTCAGTGCTTTAATTCATTTGGTGCAAGTTTAAAATATACTCCCATACAGGTACATGACACGTATTTGACAAGTACAACAGGTTTGCTCTCCTTTGAAATTATCCGAAGAATTCACAAGGCGTTTAAAGGCTCAAAAGCATGCGTGCAACAAACAGTGTAGGAAGTGATGTTGTGCAGTTTCATATTCAGGGCAGAAAATAAAAATGCACCATAAATAATACATCGACGGCATCTCTATTGCACCTCATTCCATCTTACCTTTTTGTTTGAGGACGGATCGATCACTTTCAATGAAATTAATACACTGATCAATGTTCCCTTTCTGTACACAGTCAAATATGTCTCCGCCGCTGAAGGAGCAAACAGGCACCGGCTGCATTGTGATGCGGTGCGGCTGTCAGATTTCTACAGAATCAGCAGAAACATCATCGGCCCCGCTAAGAAACTGCTACAACCCCGGACTGTAAACAGAGAAGCGACCAAAGGCTCATATTTCTCCTGAAAGTAACGGGAACTGTCCTGTTCTGTTGAACTGATTGTGGGCAGACCCGCCCTGACCACCTCATTAGCCACAACTGGTCACATGACCTATGACGCCATCATGATGCACGACTAAGGGACATGTAGTTCTTACAAGAATGGTCTATTGTCGCGTCTTTTTAAACGTTGGATAAGTAGATGTTACAATTAAAATGCAAAAAAGAGAAGCTTTGCAGAAAACGTATAAAAAATAATCGTAGAAGTGGCTGAGTGATATAAATAAAAAATAAACTCAAATATATCCTAACCACGGGAACAGCCAAAATCTTACGTTATCCTTTTAAAATAGCTGTTATAACGAAGGTGAAATAATTATGTAACCTTTAACATTGCTGTTATAGTCTCCTTAAATGTTTCCTTTTTTGTCTTTGTTTGCTGGTTATAAAAAATACAGCTCCACACGTTTGCCATAAGTATCATCATATGGGCGCAGTCAGAATCCGGCAGCGTAAAGACGGAGGGCAGCGATTAAGCACTGGGAGAAAAGGACGTTAACCTGCACGGTAACCGATTAAACAACATATCATTGCAATATTCACCCTTTATTGTGTTGTGTAAAGAAAACGTTAGAATTCAGCTCAACGTGTTCTACTCCATCGTTTAAAAGCACAGTTTACGCCTTGTGTGTCGTCATTCCATCGAATATTCTCTACATGTGATTAGGGTTCTACTTTAATTACTACAACTAACGAGTACACGGCCAGTGCGCTGACCTGGTCATGTTTTTAAACGTGTTCGTCGATGGAGTGCTCTAAAATTCTGCCCCCTTTTGTTTCCTCTGTTTTGTGGTTCCGCCTAAGCTTTTGAGGAATAGGATAAAATGAATTTAATGTAAATTGCCACTAGATGGCGGTGTTTAGCTTTGATTTGGTTTTGTGTTTTTTTTCTGCCACCACACACACACCACACACTGGTTTCCCAATTTCAGCAGTTGCACTTGTTAACCCAAAACGCCACACCTCGAATGATTGCAGCCACTAAACAAATAACAAACAAGATAAAGCTATAATAGAAACCCTATTGATCAACTTTTAAAATCACCTGTGAAGACATGTTGCAGCACGCTTGTCCTGGCTTAAAGTATGCATTAAGTCATGTGTTCAACTCTCTGGGATATGACTGACTGTAGACAACACTTGTTCACAGAGCTACAGTGGGCGGGCCCATCCAACCAGCTAAACTGTTTTTTTTTCTTCACTTCTGCTTCCTCTAAGGAAGTAAGAAGGCACATGACCAGAGCCCAGCTGATGTGAGAAGCTCACTTTGTTCAAAGTTCAGTCTGCTTAATGCAGATTTGTAGGCGGCAGGTAGTCATTCACAAGTGACCACATAGCAGGCATTAGTCATGTCCTAGCAGGTCTCTGCTTGTGCTTATATTACTGACATGGAAACACAGAGAGACCACAGTTGGGGGAACAGCTGAAGCACCAACAACCCAGATGACAGTGTGTCCTCACTGAGCTTGGAAACCCCCCAATGGCTCTCACGCAAGTTCAGGTAAGAACAGGAATTATTGAACCTTGTTTTGGTTTATTTGTTGAGTTTAGTGAGCTTGTATGTTGTGAATTCATGTCACTTTAGTTCATTGTTTGTTTTTTTTTCTCAGGACATTTTCACTCAGGGAAATAAGTACTAGTTTAATTGAATGGAATGTGAATTGACTCTCTTCCAGATAAGCATTTTATCTCGTACATTTCCTCATTCACTCTCGGGTGAAGCAAAGCTATATGTAAATTGTGCGTGAAAAATATCTGATTTTATCTGTGTCGCAATTTATTTTTTGCATTAGTTTGTTCTAACAAATATGTGTCTTTTTGTTTGTACGTCTGATAAGTAATGCTTCAGGTTGTTGACATGATGCTGATTCTATACGTACTGAGCTTAAGTCATGATGTACTGAAGGTGCAAAGGCCTTTTTTCCAAATGTGTGTGGACCAGTAGCCACCACATGATAGACTTGCATATCTAAAGAGTGACATTATGTCCCTCTTAAACACACATTATCTTCCCAGGAATTCCATGTATTTGGGCTGAAAAAACACCAAACAACAATCTCATTCTGTACAATTTAGAAGAGTGTGGCTTCTTAAACACAGCTGGCTCTGCCTGTAGCTGCCGTCCAGATCTGTCTGGAAGAAGAGAATCAGACAGCAGTGACAAATAGACTGTGTGGTGTGACAAAAATGGACAAAAATCTGAGAATTAAGTAGATAACCTGCAGAGGGAATTTGACCCAGTAATATACTGGACTCTGTTTTAGGTTCATGTTAATTCTCAACTCACTCTGTCTACTGGATAGAATGTTGTTGCTAACTGAAATACTGGCCTTCCACTAACGAATTAAATTAGCTAAAGGGCTGCTAAAATTATTTATTATATAATTTTTTCTACAAAGTTTTATGCAAATTGTACAAGTTTGTGTAATAGGGGATTTCAATTTTTTTTTTTTAATTTAAACTTTTGTCTACCAATGATACAACGTTCTTTCGAAGGTGAATTTTAAAGTATATATCCTTCTTCTATCCACTAGAATATTCTTCTCATTCTGGTTGAAATTCTTCTCTGTTTTTGCTGCTGCAGGATCCAAACATTAAAGGAGAGAGGATCAATAAAGAAACTGGAGAGCTGAGTGCCTCAGGAGAGTTGACAAACTCTGTGGCGCTGAAGGAACAGAAGGTGGAAGTTTCTGGTAATAATGCTGGACTTTCAGCGGAAGTCCGAGAACTGCTGCAGGAACTGGGTATTTACACAGGCCATCGCTCTGACGACAGAACTGAGCACGTTGATCCCGATCAGAGGGCGAAACATCTGGTCAAAGTCTTACCTCTCTACATACAGGTTTGCATTGCTGTAAAATAACTATTTATCTGCACTGGGACATTTTCACTAATAGGAGTAATGAATATTTTATTTTTAGATGATAAATGGACTAAATAAACCTGAAACTTTGTTTAAAACAGAAATGTTTAAAATGAAGTCCAAACTTTATTTAAGAGCCATCACTGAAGGTCAGATGTTAAAGGATCAGCTGATCTCGTCACTGAACTGTCCTCATGTTTATCGCCTACATGGCCCCTGAGTGACAGTTTACTGACGCATCCCATGAACAGACTGTTTGAGAATCATGGCCTCAGGCCTTACTTTGATTTCCTTTCTCATCCTCTGGGCCTAAATCGTGTCACGTCTTTGAAGATACATTCCGTATGATTTCTCCATGTGCACACATAAACCCCCCACTCATCGTCACTGATCTCTGTATAACCCCAGTGATCGGGCCCACAGCTGCAGACATAATCACTGCAGGGTTAGTGTGTAAGTAGTTCTGTGTAAATGGATAAACCTCATGATCCAAGATTTTACAAGAACACAGGGCCTCAGTCAAGAACAGCAAACTCAGTGAAATGTGATATCCTCTTATGGAGGTGAAGAGCTACGCTAGGCACCAGCTTCCATTATTTATGGTGCAGTGTGCTGCACTGCTGAGTTTAATACATTGAGAAAAATCATATTTAATCTCAGTGTAATAATATAAACGTTAAAAGACACAAATACATAACAAATATCACAAACCTAAAATTATGTTCTTTAATTTTCCACCAAAAACTCTCCCTGATATTCCAGGCCTGCGAGGATGGAGGGAGACTGGAAAGTTTGGATGTGCAGGGCCTGGCTGCTCTCACTGCTGACACCGTCATTGTTAACCTCCAGAGCAGACTGGCAGAGAAACCTGCAGGTACAGTACGAACGCAGGGGCCACACATACTGTAAAGTACATACAGTACACAGCGTGGGTATTTGCAGGTAGAGGGACTTTCTACCCCCTCAGTCTACTTCTGCTTTTTCACTGTGAACATTTTTGTTATGTAAATGTTTTTTGTTTCTCTTGGGTCGTCTTGAAATAGCAGAGGGTTGATCACAGTTTATTCTCCAGCCTTTTGCCTTCACTTTTGCTTTAACCTTTAACCCAGAATTTTGGTTCCGTTGTGTTTTATATTTTTAACATTTTTCTTCTTCCTCCAAAGTGTTAATTGGATTGTAGGTATATTTATTTTTAATTCATTCAATGTGCCATTTTCTATCATTTTATTTTGACTTTTAGGTCATTTAGGTTTTAAGTCATTTTAAAAAAAAACTGAACTGAAAACTCTCGTCCTCCCACATTCAACTGACATTGCTTCTTTGTCAACCACATGTTGACATAAATGGAAGAATATATTAATGTAATAAATATAATAGTATTTTATTAGTTGTAGTAGTGTCCTAATTACGGTAATAAATATAATAACTTCATACATTTATTAATGCCTTCTTATGTTTCCAGAGGGCGCTCGTAAAGAGGTGGTGGAATTTTTCCACTTTGTGGACGAAGATGAAAAGAGTAAAGAAGGACACAGTCTGGGCTGGAAGCTGTTGAAGGCCCTGGTGCTGCTGACAGCTGACAGTTCAGTGAGTTGGAATGTCAACAGATGTCTAATACACACACACACACACACACACACACACACAAACACATATATTGTGTTCTAATTTTTTTTCTCTGTTTGTGTAGGATATACTATCGTGTTTAAATCCAGGACTTCCTGTGACTTTGGTGAAGTGTCTGTACCTCCTCGTCTGCCTTCCAGCGACACAGGAGAACCAGGCCACAGAGGAGAGTTTTCAGGAGCCACTGACACAGGTCATTTGAGGTCATTTATATACAGCAGATATTTAACCCCCCCCCCCCCAAAACAAGTTATTCTTAACTTCTATTCTCACTGCACCAAAACAAATTCTGTGTGGTTTTCTGTTCTTGTCCTCTTCTCACAGGTTCTCCTCCAGCTCTGTCGACGGCCAGTCAATGTGGAAAAACTGGTGGAAACTCAGGAACTGCAGTGTCTCATCATTGGCCTAACATCCTTATGGGATCAGACCAGCGCCCCCTGGAGACACCAGGCCTCTCGAGTGCTGAAGGCCGTCTCTGCTGTAGCAACGAGCAACACTGTGCCCAGCTTGTTAGGTAAAAATAATTAAAAGAATGTTATTGACTTGATAGTCATTTGTTGTCTAGTCTTCCTGTAGGGCAACAGAAATCAATCATTAAAGTTGATTAAATCAACTTTTAAAAAATTAAAGTAAAGATGATTAAATCTGTGCAGAATGGTCGACTGTTGTCTAGTCTTCCTGTAGGGCAACATAAATCAATCATTAAAGTTTGATGGTTAAATCTGTGTATCATTTTGCCAAGTTTGATTTAATGTGACATATTTTTGTGCCCAGAAGAGTAAACATAGACCTGTGATCTCAGAAGCAGACATGTCTGAATTAACTTTCACGTGATGAACCATCAGGGCAGATGAGTCAGCCAATCATTTGCCCACATGTTCTGTTGGCTAACTTCAACTTATTTTGAGCATTAAAAAGCTATTTACATTTTCCAATCCTGTACTGAGCTCATGTGGCTAAAAATGATTCATCCTTCATTTAGACCAAATAAAGGTCAAGGATTTTTCATTTGATACAAAAATTGACTATTGAAAATATAGAGTTTTTATTTTTATTTTTATATAATAACCCAGAGCTCCTAACCTTAACCTTCATTTTCCATCAGAAAAGAACTGTGTACGGATCTGCATCCAGAACCTTCTGAGCATCCATGCTGACGTCTCAGGATCTCTGCTCGCTGAAGTGGCAGTGGCCGTGTTTAGCTTCATTAGAGACACATATTCCCTCAATCCAGCCCTGTTTCTGGAGTTTGACACCCACGGCGGCTATGAGGCGCTGGAACACATCCTGAAACGGTGAGATGGGAGGACAGAATCAGAACGTAGAAATGATGCTAAGGAAACATGAAGAAAAGTCGGTCAGAGTTAGTGTTTTCATTACCCAAACTTAATTTAACCTTCATTTTACTCCTGTGACCTCAGAGTGAGTTTCTTTAGTACAGGATCATTAATTTATCTTTTATAAATTTCTAAATTTATTCTTAACATGTTTTGTGTTCCATGCCGTTCCCAGCTGTGAGGACGGGGTCTCCGAGGATTATTTCCAGCCTGTGGAGGAGTTGCTGGCTCTTATAGCATCCTTCACGTCCTTTGGAAAAACGGAGCTGAAAGTGGCCGTGTGTGTCACCAACCCCCAGCCTCCGAGCTTCAAGTTTGATCCACCGCTCACCAAAGGTAGGTCAACTTTCCAATGTTCTGCTGTTGTTATTCTCTGGCTAATGCTCCCTAATTATCTCCAACGGTTTATTGTACCATGAGGATAAACTCTGAACCATTACTTCTAAATGCACGCTGCAAACCATCTAATTATTATCTTTGCATGGCTCAGCAAAGACAGGCGCGGGGAGGGGAACGGGCGCCCCCAGATGACCACACAGTTCATCACTTCTTTGCACTTTAGCCCTCATATAACCCACCCAACCTGCATAAGCCCTGTTCCCAGTCCCCCCTAGCCTTGATTCCCCACTCCCTCCCCTGCTGCTCCACTGCAGTGCACTGCACAGCACCCCTCACGTTAACAGGAAGCTGAGGTGATTATGTCTGGGATGATGAAGTGGAGTCTTCCCCTCTAACTCTGTTAGGATGCCCCACATCCATTCACCACTGGCCTACAGCAATCAGCCATCTATCATGGATGCAACACACACATCCATCCAACACTCATAAATAGAGTGTCCATAATAAACACACTCGTATACCAACGTAAACACATACATACACATTTTCAGCTCAAATCTGTCACTCTGTTGAAGAGACGTCTTTTGATGCTGACGCTGTTCCTGTGTTTATCTTATTTTCTGTGAGTTGGTTTTTAGATTATATAAATCAGATGTATACATTTTGTGCACAACAAAACAAGGTTTTCCAAATGTGAGACATTCTCTAAATATTTCACACCACGACAAACTCTATCAAGGCAGATTATGCTGCTTTTTCCTTCACCTCCGTGTGTGTGATGTTGTTTGTTCCATTTATTTACATATGTGTAACTCAGTTTGTTTGATAGGATTCAACACGTGCTGTGTGTTAAAGGTTGTTCATAATTTATTGTGTTTTCACTTTTATGAAATGACCCTGTCAGAGGGAAGTGGTGTAAAACCTGGTTGTGGTTTTTAAATATTTTAACAGCTGAATTGACCTTGGGTTAATGTTGTTTTGCTTCAAAGTATGTGACAAACAAATGCAAAAGAACACATTTTAGTAAACAGTATACAGGGGTTAAATTTATATCAATGTAGACTGTGTAATATTTTTGAAATTATTTATAGAAAATATTTGTATTGACGAGGTTGATGAGGTTTGGCCTTGTTCCTGCTTCCAAATAAATAGACTAAATGCAAATGGCAAATGCCATTGTGTGCATATGTCTGTTTTCAGTATGAACAGTGACCACAGGGCTAAAAAGAGGATTCGTCATTTTCTGTATGGAACTCCTTTTACCACAGGTTAGACTTGAGTAAACTTGTTCCACCATGTTCTTCAGGCTTTGCTGTGAAGAACCTGCAGGCCTACCGCCTGCTGCAGGCCTCCCTGCTGCGCTCCCAGGACTGCCTGCTATGCTGCCAGCTTCTAAGAACCATTCAGACAATTTGGGAGAGGGATCCTGCTAATTTCTTCCTCTTGGAGTGGACCGTCCAGTCCATGGCCCAGGTGGCTGCCTGTGTGTGGTCAAAACCAGTGCCTGTGCAGAAACTCTTCTTTTCACAAGTAGAGATGGTAAAGCTTCTGTTATTCACTTCCCAGTCTTTTGAATTTGGTTTTATCTGAGGAGTTTAGTATACATTTTGTGTGTTTGGTTTTATCTGAGGAGTTTAGTATAAATTTTGTGTGTTTTTTTTTTTAAGGTGGTCTACAAGATGACCTACATCCCCCACGAGACCTTGCATGCCCTGTTGGGTTCTCTGAAGAAGATCTGGACCGGGACTCTGGCGGGAGGGGCAGCAGGGTTAGAATTTGGAGTGGTGGCATTAAAATCCTTCGACAGGTGAGCAGTGCTAACTGGTGAGATCATCTCTTATCATCTATCTTACGAGACACTGTTTTAAATATATTTAAATATTTACATTTAAATAAAATGTAATTGATAATACAGTCTGTTTCTATGTGATATGTCACTTCACAGTCTCATATTCTAACTCCACCACTAGATGCTGCTAAATCCCACACGCCGTACCGTTAATAACCAGTAACACCAGTGTTCTCTGCCCTGTTTGTTTTGCTCCATGTGGCCCAAACTCCACCCCTGGACACTGCAGGTTGACCATGCACAGTGCCATGTTGGCTGAGGTCTTCAGTGACTCTGGTCTTTTGGAGATGCTGCTCACTGAACTTCGTAGGAGAGCTAAGATCATCAGAAAGACTGGAGGCGGCTCTTCCACTCAGACAAGTACAGTTCACCATGTTTCTGTGAATCTGTAGAAGCAACGCTGCAGGTACCATCACGGATGCAATCAAACTAAATCTGGAAACTCTTGCTCTTCTACAGAACCGCAGCAACTTCCATGTGTGGAAGACACCGACCGACTGCTCACCACCTGTATGCTAGAAGTTGTGGCAACTCTCACACTGCGTTCCATTAAAAACACAGGTACGTTTAAAAAAATCTATTGCACTTTTTACAATTTTATTAAGATGTTCATCTTGATCAATCGCGATCCTTTTGACAGACCTAGGTTTTATATAGGCTGACGTTGTGTATTGTAGTTTCAGTGCGAGACTTTGGAATGGTTCCTTACATTAAGATCTTCTTGGACGAGGGTCAGTACCGAGGTCCCACCCTCAGCATCTTGGAGCAACTTGCTGAGGTCAACCCTGAGGAGTTCATGAGTACAGCCATCGGAGCCATCTGCTCCTCAACACAGCAGGAGCTGGGGCTGAAGCGGGACCTCTTGCAGGTGCCTCTATTTTAAATGTCAATATAAATACCAGCCTCCGAACATCTAGGTATTCGAGTCGTCTCAGATGGACAGAGGATCTGAGAGCGTGCTCCCGACACTGTAATAAATTGTAATGCACTTAAAACCTAATTCGCTTGTGAATGTATTTTTCTCCAGCTTGTGGGAGCTGATGATTTTGTTACAGACAAATGCAGATTGATTTGCTAAAACTGGGTTAGCCGTTAACGCCGGACCTATTTGATTAGGCCGGCAGCTCTGTGTCGCGGCACGATGAAGATTACGGCCTCTATCAGATCAGTGAACGGGACAGAGATGTGATTAGGCCTAAACAAGTTACACACCTACTGTATGTGTCCGTTTTTATAAATGGCAGCAGAAAGAGCACTTCCTTGCAGACCTTGCGTGTATCCAGTGTTTGTTAAGGGATTGTTTGTTCATTTATGCAGGAGTTGGAGCGTGTGTGTGTGGGACAGATTGTGATTGTGTGTATTCTTGGTGTTAACACGGTTAAGGCAAGTGGCAATCAGATTGGGTGCGACCTGGGTTGGCGGGTGTTGAGTGGAGCCATTGTGATTACTCCACTTTGAGTTAATCACATTTCCCTCTGCGTTCCGCCTCACACATTAGCTTCCTGATGGATTAGCTTTTAAAATTGAATAAACCTAATGCTATTTTCTTCACCTGCAAAAACTAGTTACTAGAAATGATTTATGATATATCAGCAGGTTTCATCTATTTTTCATGACATTGCTTTAATTGACTAGAGATGTGCGTTTAAGAGCTTTCAGACTTTGAGGAAAGTTTCTTGTGGACACGCTGTGAATTGTCATAATAAGGTGTGAGTGTTTCTGCCTTGTCTGACTCCTCTTTCATGTATTTCAGTCTGTGTCGAAAGTACTGGACAACCCCAACAGCTGGGACGCTTTCAGGAGAGCGGGAGGCTTCACCGGCCTCCTGTCTGTGGTCATCGACATGGAAGGAGCGCTTTCTGACCCACCAGCAGGGGACGTGTGGAGGACATTTGAACACCAACAGCTGCTGGACCTTCTCCTGCTCAATGTTAACGTCATGACCTTGGCTGTACATCTTCACTCAGTCAATGCACACCATTTTGAGACTGGTGGCTTTTACGAAAGGCTGGCTGACGCTCTGCTACAGCTGGGCTGCTTCCACGCCAAAAGCCCAGAGAAGGAAATGTGGGATGGAGAGCACAGCTTCTCCCCAAAGACACCTGTGGACAGCTGCTCAGATGAAAAGAGTTTCCATCAGTTTGGGGAGTGGGCAGAAGCCAGTGACTCTCCTTCCTCCTCCACACCTGAGCCCAGTCTTCCTGTTTCTCTGCGCACGTGTATAAAGCTGCTCTCCTTCCTTGATCGGTTTGCAGCAGGAGTCTTCCCTCTTCTAAACTTAAGATCAGATCATGAGCACGTGCATGATACAGATAATGAGACGTCTGGACTTGAAGGCATTTATTCAGAGACACCACCAATCCACCCGAGATCAGGATCACAGTCAACGGTGGACACACAAACCAGAAGTACGGTTTCTCCCTACAGGTAAAAGTTCAAGGCCTTTGTAAATGATTGACAAATCATACGTTCATGTTTTTAAGGACTTTTCACCCAAACTTTCTCCCATTGTGCTTTGTCTGTCACCTGACCCACAGTCGGTTGACTTGCGATCACGTTATTCTTCATCCAGGAGCTATCAGAGTTATAATGACTCTCCTACCAGCAGTGTTTACACCTGACGACCCACAGGTAATGTCCAGGTCACAGTCAGTAGCCAGAGTTCGTCACACAATTCGTCACCTGTGTTTCTCCTCTGACCCAGCTCTCCATGGAGGTCCAGTTGTCCCTTGGGAGCCATGTCCAAGCTCTGGTCAAACCTGAGAGAAATCGTCAGATCATGTGCGAGGGTGGGCTGCTGCCTACTTTACTGGGCCACTGTCAGCACATGCTTCTGAATCCAAACCACCCATTACATCTGTCTGTTACAAGGATCCTGGAAAAACTGTCCTCCCAGGCCATCACACATTCAGACTTCAGGTCAGACTTCACTCTGTCATATAGTCCAGACAAATGTAGAATGTGAAAATGTAAAAGCTTCTTGGCAGACAACAAATTTTAAAAGTCTTTTTTTAAGTCTTCATTGTTTCCTTTATCCTGATTAAAACTCTTTAGTCCAGCTGAATAAAACCAGCCCCAAATCATGATTCTACCAGCAGCTTCTTAGAGTGAGGATACATTTAAAAAAAAAAAATCTTTAAAGCTGTATGAGCCTTTGGGAACATTCTATTACAGAGATTTTTACGTGCTCAGTCACTTGATTTGATGGCGAGGAAAATTGTTTTATCTGTAATTGGGTAAACAATGGGATTTGTACTTGCTCAAGAACATTAGTTTTTCTTGCTCCTGAGTGATTTGTTGTTGTTTTTTTTTAAACTGAACTAAATATATATGTCGTATTGAAGATTATAATAAAAATCTAATTTCACTGTGGTCTGAAAACAGAAAACTATCTCTACTGTATGGTCACTAGAAAATAATTTAAGTATCTCTGTAGTTTTGCAGTGTTTTCTAAAACATTACCTGATGTGTTTTGTCTTTTTCAGAAAGTTCCTCTCTTTAGCCAACCCCCTACAGCACTTGACAGCAGCGCAGTCACAGCCAGCTTCTCTATCACATGGTATACATTTACACTGTGCCACCACATGTCAACATAAACCAATGTGATTCCTGTTTTAAACTGAATCCTTACTGAAGTGATTGTTGGTTGTCTCAGGCCGTCGCAGAGACACAGATGCCTCATCCAGTTCATCAGGGAAAAAAACGAAGCGGAACTACAGCTTGTTGCCATCCTCTGATGGATCACCCATCCCTGTCCATCAGATCATTAGTCTGGTGTCCATGACATCCCCACGCACCTTCAGGCCACACCGACTCTCTACATCACCTGCATTTGTTGAATTTGACATGAGTGAGAGTGGATACGGGTGAGTCACTGCACATATTTTGTACTGGAAAAACAAATCTACGGCACATAACTAAACAAAAATGTGCCAAAAATATGTATTTAATGCAAAACAATAATTGTAATTTACATATTCAGAGTGAAATCTGGGCTTGTTTAGTTGAACGTTAACGTTGGTAAACTCCCAGGAATTGAAGAAAATCTCACAGTCTCACAGATCTTCTTTAACTGCTTTCTTTATGTGTTATTATAGTCATTTGCTGTCTGATCTACTGGATGATTATTTCATTGTTCAGATTGTCATTGTCACCTAGATGAATGTTTTCAGATTAATTTGGTGAAATTGTATAATTTTTTACAACACACCTGATGATCTCTCATGGCACACTAGCGTGCCTTGGTACAATGGTTGTTAATCACAGCTGTAGGGAGTGTGTCGAATAGTCTCTGAATAGTATTGTTGTAGAAACAAGATAAAAAGACAAACCCCCAGTTATTGGTTTCTGACTGTGCTGTGCAGCTGCCTCTTCCTGCCCACGCTGGCCACAGTCAAAGGAGTAACTGCTGACTCCATCTCAACTGGTGGAATTGGAGGAGGTGAGTGCTGAGTCTGATACTGACACATTTGTTGATTAATCCGATAAGTACATGTCCAATCATGTGGTTGTCATCCACAGACTGCCGAGGATTCCCCCCCACAGCTGGTCTCTCTTTTTCCTGCTGGTTCCAGATCAACAGGTTCAGCTCAGCCTGTGATTCTCACCCGATCCGTCTGCTGTCGGTGGTTCGCCACATGTCCCGCACCGAACAGCAGTATATCTGCTTGTCTATCTCCTTCTCAGCCTATGATGGCTGTCTGGTCATCTCCACAGAGGAGGAGGCATTCACTTACCTGGGTAAAAAACAAACAAAAAAAATGGTGCAGTTTTTTTTCTTCTTCTTCAGCTTCTGATAAATTTCTCTCTGTGTGTTGTTGCAGACATGATGGAGCCAGAAATTTGCACTCCTACCTCGTTGCCTGCATCACTGAGGTTGCGATGCTCCAGCATGCTGGTCCCAGGTCAGTGGCACCATCTGACTGTAGTCATGGCCAAAGATGTGAAGAAGAGTTGTCTGACCTCAGCCTATTTCAATGGAAAGCTGTTTGGCACAGGGAAGGTACGGCTAAAACCGCCGGTGGTAAAATCATCAAATTTGTTTTGACAAAACAGTAATCGTTGTGTTTCCGCCGTCAGATGAGATACATCCAGCCATTCCCTGGTCAGTACGTCTCGATGGAACCCACAGCTTTGGTTGACGTCTTTGGTCTGATCGGAACGCCATTTCTCTGGAAGGAGCGTGCGGCTCTGGTGTGGCGAGTGGGGCCATGTTACCTGTTTGAAGAGGCTCTGAGTCCTGAGGCTGTGGGACTCATTTACTCACAAGGCACCACTTACCTGGGCAACTTCCTGGATCTGTGCAACACAGGTGAGATTATAAACAGGGATTTGTCAAGATCTTAACAAAATGTCTTTTACTTGAAAATGTCAGACCAATCATTGTGGCTGTTTCATTCTTGTAATATTATGTGTTTCTTTTTTCTTTATCTGTGTAATTTCCGCGTCCTGCACCAGAAGGGGAGTCTGTCCCTCAGCGTCTGGTTCCTGAGGAAAGGATCTCATTTGGGATCAATCCGTCTATTTCCACCTTAACTACTGTTGTGCAGATCAGAGATGACTACAACGAGGTGGACTGCAGGCTGATTGCTAAAGAGGTGAAGCCACACTTCAATTGTTTTTGACAGTAGTCTTAATCACTAATTCTAGGTCAATAGGACAGAATGTCACTTGTGTTATCAATAATCTCATAAAGAGAAAAACTGAGGACAACACAAATGGAACATAAGGTGACACAGCAGAGGAAGAGCTGGTTGTCATGTTTTATTAAACAACATTTTGACCAGGCTCCATTTAAGCACCCTTTACCTTTATTATATATTTTCCTCTACATAGGATCGGACCTTGAAAAATATATCTATTAAAATGTTAACTGTCATGATATATTGAATCTAATCTAACAGTAATATTGTTAAAGATGTGTCTGCGACTATACTTTACAGCCATTGATTAAAGTATTATTCAATAATAATTGTATACTTTACAGCCATTGATTAAAGTATGTAAGTAAGTTTAATACTTAAAAATAATGTTGCCTTTCAGATGGAAATAACGTCTCGTGATAACTCCACGCCTGTATTTCTTGCTCGTAATATCAGCCAGCACCTGAGCGGCACAGCTCGCACAATTGGAGCAGCACTGATTGGACATTTTGGTAAATTCATGAAAAACCAAAGCAATTCTGTACTCCTTTTTTTAGCTGTATGTTTCTGAGCTTGTTGCTGCTCTCTTGTAGGCGTGCGTACATTCACTCCCAGCAGTGCATCCAATGGTTTCCTGTATGTTGGCGGACCGGCTCTTGTTCTGGGTCTGGTTGCGATGGCACCAGACGACAGCTCTTTGTATGCAGCTGTGAAGGTTCTCCTCTCTGTGCTGGAGACCAACTCTGTCATGCAAGAGGAAATGAACCGCATCGACGGATACAAGGTCTGTTGGCTTGATAACATTTGGGCCTCTCATCATGCTTAATTGCGCCCAAATGTGTTTCCGGAACTTGTTTCTATTTCGCTGCAGATGCTAGCTTTCCTGCTCAAGATGAAGAGAAAACTGATCAGCAACAGAACTGTACAGCTGGTTCTGTGTCTCACAAGTTCTCAGGAGCTGAACTCTGGCTCTGGGTTTGTCCAAAACATACCTGCTTTCAAAGCTTTGCTGTGCGACCTGGACGTAAGCATCAGAATTTTATAAATGGACGAGAAATCTTACAGCACATTTCTGTTATGTCTGTCTTTCGGCTCAGGAAATGTTGTGTCAGTGTTGTTGCTTTGTGTTTGCAGGTTTGGAAGGACACATCAGATAATCTGGATCTCTCAGTTCTGAACCATTTTACGGAAATCCTCAAAACATCAAGGTAAAAACCACAACTCTGAGTGTGTCGCCAGACCACATTTGAAACATTTGTATTGCCTAAATACAATGTTGTGTAATGTTATTGATATAAATGACTGAAAGATTACACAGCATGATGAAAGAGTTTTGGTCAGGACTGGGTGCAGCCTTCACTGTTAAATTCTGATGCAAGGTGTCATTATTATCACAGAAGTGTTTAGTCGAAGGAATGTTCACCAGAATCTGCCTCAGCTGAAGGGGAAAGCATGACTGAACATGTGCAAGAATTAGGCTATTATGTCCGTGGGAAGTGGTTGTGGTTGATATTAATGCTCTCTCTGTTGTCCCTGTGTCTGCATCCACAGCAGTGGCAGCATGAATGCAGCACTCATGCACAGCATTGGTCTGATACCAAAGCTGCTCTATAAACTGTCTGACTGCATGAGTGCTCATGGGAAAGTTAAGACTATTTCCTGTGTCATCACATCACTCCTCAAAATCCACTTCACCACTCTGGACTTGAGCAGGTACTTTTTGTGGATTCTGTGCAATAATCACTGACTTTTAAAATATGATGAGAAATATTTAGGTAAACTTTAACCTTTGATTATTTTTTAATGCAACATTTTTTTGTATCATCAGGCTTGGTCTCTTCATGGTCTACACACTCCCTCCTCCCAGCAACAGGAGTGAAGCCATGGAAGTATCTGACGATGATCTCTCAGAGGAGGTTTTAGGTGAACTACACTTCTTTTCTTGACTTTTTTTAATAGAAGAGATTTGTTTGAATGTTGTCAGCAGGACATAAATGAGAAAACAGTGAATACACATCTTTTTAGACTTGTAAAATGTGGTTAAATAATTTTGCCTCAACACTGTTGGACCCTGTCTTCCCGTGTCTGTGGTGCAGCTCAGAGTTCTGGTCCGGTCGGCTTCATCTGGATCCGCAACCAGCTGTTACTGTCTCTCTGTGAACTCCTCGTCTCAGACGGCCTCCCTGAAGAGTGAGCAGCGTCGGCCACAGTTTTACAACTGGAATCACATTAACTCAAACCCATCAAACCACAACTGAATTCTTTTGTTGTGTTATTATTCCCCACTAGTCAGCAGAAGCAGGCGTTCGATTCCCTGGGCAGTGATTGGCTCCTGCTCTTCCTTCTGCCCCACCTTCACCCATCGACGGTGAAACTGAGTCTCGTCCTGCTCACATCCTGTCTGTCCAATCAGGAGCAGCAGAGCAGCTTCAGAGAAGCAGTGATTCCAGCAACACTCATCGACAGCATGGAGGAACCTATAGGTATGATGGGTAAAGTCTAAAAAAAAAAGATATAAAATGATATATAAGAACTCAATAATATAGTAACAGTATTTTACCCACTTATTTTTTGGGGAAAAAAAATAATTTAGCAAAATTAAAAATTATGTTACAAAAATGTTACAGATAAAGTTAAATAAATGGTTTCATAGTAAAACTGAACAGCAGGTTTCAGAACAGAGATGATGCTTTACAATTTAGTGCAATATGAAGGGATTAACACCATCGTATTGAAAAAATTCTCCACTTGTCCCTTTAGACAACCTTCAGGCTCATTCTTGGTCTTATGAGTGTCCAAGCACCACGTGTGGAGGCTTCGATGTTCTGCGGCAGCTGCTGATCACTCACTCGCAGCTGCCTCAGGTGTATGAAGCTCTGGCCGCTTTGTTGCTACGGAGAAAATTGAGTCAGACGTCGGACGCAAAGGTAAAAATTTAAAAACATTATCTTATAAAATAATCTAAGATTACATTTTCTAATGATTTTTTTTTTGACATTTAAAGGTGAAATTAGATGAAACCCTGCAGTCGCTGATTGAATCTCAGGCCGACTGTCCTGCTCAGCAGCTCTGTCCTGAAGCTGCGACGATTCTGCTGGAGTTGGTCAAAAACACCATAACAAAGGTCAGGATTTTAGTGATGCCTTAATGTCATAATATCTGCAGCATATTTGTGACCTTTAATACTTTAAATGTTGTCTATGTTGCAGCCACAGTCCACGTCAGGCACCGATGCATCATGGTTACTGCAGCTCCCGGCCAGTGTCATGCAGTTCCTGTGTCTCCTCCACAGTCTCCGACCCCGAGATCCACTGTGGGCATCCCAGGAGTTCCTGCACACACTTGCAGGAGTTGTGTTTCCTCTGGACATCTCTGAGGTTTGTGTGTGTGTGTGTGTGTGTTAGTGTGCTAGCATTCAAATGTATGTGTGTTCATTGGTGTTCTTATTTTTTTAGAGTAATGGTGAGGATACAGTGAAGAGTTTTCAAACCAGGAAACCAGTGTGTGACTTCATCAGAATACTGCTCATGGACAGTCTTCTCAACCTGCCCTCCAACAGCAGCTCCTGTCCTCTAGTTCAGCTGCTGGAGGTAAAAAAAACCCCAAAACAAGACAAAAAAACTTACATGATGTTACATTACTAATAATACAAATAATTATTTATATTCACAAATTTCATTATTCTGCTATAGTTATTGGTTTTGTTATACTGCAAGACTGTCTATTTACCACAGGGTGCCGCTCTTTCCTCAGTTACAAAGGACGACACTACGTCTACGCTGTGTTGATTAGTTCATTTGCCATTTTATTGCACACACACACACACACACACACACACACAAAGGTAGCCTCGGCTGTTCGTGTGAGGGTTTTGTATTCATTTCTACAACCTTTGTAGAGTCGAGTCCTATTGTTTCACCACGTTCAGGTTTCCTTACATTAACTCAAGACCATATATTTCTCCTATTTGTAGCCAGAGCCTGAAACAAATAGTTAATGCCTCATTAGGCCTGGTTATAATTCTGATAAGAACAACTGCTCCTTGAATAATAAAAGTAATAATACCACAAAAATATTACTTTAAACTTTAATCGTTATATTTAGTCATTTTGAATGTAATTGAATTGTGTGTTTTTATTTATTTATTTATTTACGTACTAATGTCTCCTAATCGTTTCACCCCCTGCAGTTTGCCCCTCACGATGCACTGCTGGAGCAGATTCAGAGTTTCCAGACCGAGCTGCTGGAGCTGGTAATGGACATCGTCCAGATGCTCAGCCAGGACCAGGAGCAAAACACTCATCTGAGTTCACAGGGTATTCACTTCTCCACACACTCTTCTACCTTCTTATTTCTTCTAACTTGCTCCCACCATAAACCACCTCTCCATCCGTGTGTGACGTTTTGCTCCGTATCTTTCAGACTCCAGGCAGTCGGGTGACGGAGCTTTGAGCATGCTGATGGACAATGTGGTGGTCTTTGGTAAGACCATGCTGCAGAAGCTCTACGGTGGAACGTTCTTAGCAGACCCCGAGGTTCTGCTCAACTTCCTCGCTGATCAGATTGTGGTGGTGAGACAGCAACACAGAAACAGAAACACCTACCGTATCAATATTTAATCAATAGTCACTAATGATCTAAACTGAGATTTATATTTGCAGTTATACGGTAAGTGTTTTTTTTCTAATTAAAACTGGAGCATGTTTTTAAATGATGCAATCTGAAAAATTCCTGCTCACTTTTACAGCCATAAATAATTAAACCTATTTTAATTATCATATCATAAACTTGTATCAGACTTGTTCACAGTTCGGTCCTGAGGCCAAATCTGCCACAAGTTTAATTTAGCATTTAAATGAAGCTGGGTACAGCTGTTTTAATTTTTTTTAATTTCTTGTAAATATATAATATGTGTTAGAGTCGCTTTCAGAACTCTTTATTAATTAATCTGATTTTCTCTGTACATTTTTGTATGTTCTTTTGTTATTAATCATTTTGGTAACATTATTCTCTTTATGAATTACCTCATGTATGATTTGCTTTTACATTTACAGTAGTTTTAATTACTAACAAATCTAAAAAAAACACACATTTTAGGCCAATGTTTAGCCATTCAATGCAATGGTTTTTACCTGTTATTTGGTTTTATTGTATTGTTTCTTTCCTAATTTACAGCGTTTTCTTTTTTGCAAATGTATTAGTTGACAAACATTTGGTCATCTATATATTAAATGTGTATTTTTAAATACATTTTTAGTTAATTTCTAGAATGTCAATAATAATGTTTAATAATAATAATAATAAATATAATAGTATTATTAATACATGCATGTATTAAATGTTACAAATCGCGCTGCTCATTAACTACTAATTAAAAACATTTATTTAAATACATTTTTATGTGAAATTCCAGGCTCTGGAGAAAGGCCAAACCCAGAAAGAGAAGACGCTGTCATCACTGTACTCCTGCACCAACGAAGTCCTGCTCTATTTCTTATCTCAACCTCGTCAGTCACCTGAAGAACAGCAAAGGATCGTCCTGACGTTACACACCGTCATGGCTCGCTGGGACGTTATTATGGCCACGTACAACGCAAACGTCAGCTTCATCTCGTGTCTCCTCCATTGTCTGTTACTCATACGATCTGGCAGGTAATGTAGGAATAATGTCCACTTCGAACAAACCGTTTTATGTGGTGCCTTTGCTCTTTAAATTAAAAAAAAATTGTAATATATATCAATCACATCTGTCTTTTTTAGCTACCTGGATGGTTTTGGATGCCTGGTGCAAAAAGTGCACAGGAGAAAGTCTTCATTTCACCTGTTTTCTCCTAGAATCCGACGGTCTGAAGTATTCAACATCAACAGAGCAGTGAAGAACACAGGTTTATTTCACATTTCATCATGAGTTTTCTTTAGATTCTCTAAGTCTGTAGAGTTATATTTGAAAGTTATATTGACTTCAAAGTAATAAAAAAATTCTAATTAATAATTAGATACTAAGTTTCACGTTTGGTTCTATGGTAGGTATAATCTGTCATTTTTAAATGTATGATAGGATATAAAAAAACATTATCACAAGCAAAACAAACTGTTTAAAGTTTTGCCAAATCGAGAGAAAGAAATATTTTTAAGATGAGATTTTTCTAGAATTAAAGCAACAGGTTTCAAAACTCAAAAGAAAATATTATGATGCTAGTGAGTGATTAAATAAAGTCAAAAATAAAAACTCTGCATTGAAATAATCTTGGGTGGATGAAGTGCACATAAATAAAAATATACTGTGGACACATATCTGATGTTGGAATATTTGAATTTTATGATATAATTTCTTTACATAATAATTTTTTAGAAATGTGGTAGAAATATTTGTACCTGTATTTAAATCACTCGGAAATCACTTTTAGAAACAAACACACCTTTTAATCATGTTTTTCTCGACTGTCTGTGCCTGGACAGGTGAGGGAGAACTGGTGTGTTTGGTGGAGTCCTGCTGGTCCAAAGTCATGGCAGAGAGACAACACACTCTGGAGGAGACCTACAAGTTAGAGCTCTCGGCCGCCAACGGCTCAGAGACGGGCTCGGTCAGCATGGCAGATATCAGCCCTCTGTGGGAGGAAACTGCACATAAAGCCTGGCAGCTGCACACAGGTCAGCCCTCACCGTGATTACCTCTGTCTGTGTCTCGCTGTCCTTCACATTTAAACTGTTGGTACTATTTAACACGTCCCTCAGAGAGTCAGAGGAAGAAGGTGGGCGTCAGCTCCCAGAAGAAGCTGGATGTGATCAGCAGTGCCGTTCGCTCGGTTCTGACCAGGCCGGGCAGAGAGTCGCTGACGGTTGAGGTAAACACATTCATCCGTACCATGAGGTCACCTTTCCCCCCAGGAGTCCTCTGCATCCAAAAACCTGAGCTCTTGTCCCAAAGTCGGTGTTGTGTTTGTGCCGTGGGCCGTCCAGCCCTGTGGGGTTGTTTGATTATTTCTTTAAATAGATTTGGATTATCACAGCTGATTGCCCCTGAGTGGGCATAGTAATTGATATCTGTTAGGCCCATCCACGGGAACACTCACTACAACACAGCAGTGTTTGCTGCTGAAGGTTAAAGACGTGCTTATTGTTGTTTTTCCCCCTCGAAACACGTGGCCCACATCATTAGTTCCCCCACAACGCTTAAGACGTCGAGCCATCTGGAGCAGGGAGCGGGGACATATTACTCAGGCACACAGGCATGAAATTAGCGCGTCTGTGTGTCTGTCTAACCTTCCACAAAGTGCCTGCGTGTGTGCGCTCCCGTTCGTGCGCACAACTCTTGCCCACAGAAATCAGGTTGGCAATTATATTGGTAGCAATCTGATGAAAACATTATTCATTTGATGTTATTCTTTATCATATCAGGCCGTGACAGGCTATCAGCGCGGGTGATGAATTGTTTTTCCGTCTGTGAGGTGGAGGAAAAGAGGGAGGGATGATTTCCCTTCTCCTTCTCTGGCGCTGGTGGAACAAAGTGAATATTTTCAAATAATGAAAGTCAAGTTTTTCAGTCGGACTGAGTCATTCTGTCCCTTAAACAAACAAGTCGGATGGTAATTAATTTCCGGGTCATTACCCCACAACCTGACGTCTCCTGTTCTGTGGGAAGTCTTTAAGTAACGCAGCGTCGTCTGCGAGTTTCACACACACCAACTTTTTAGCCGACAAAACAACAGACTTTTAACGTCGGTGATGCACACGGTGGGTGGAAAAACTCAGTCAGGCTTCAGTGCGAGGAGATTTATTTCATCAACCAATGCAGTTCCCATAATCATATCTGTGTCCTCATATTAGAAAGATAATTAACAGCACTAATGATCACGTTAAGTTCATTACACATTCACTGCCAGCCCCAGAATGAAGTTGACATTATGTTGCCTTATCATCAAAGGTGGCGCATTGTTGGGAAGTCATTAAAATGGAAATGAGTGTGATGTTCTGATGTTAATTGCAGAAGGGGAAGAGATGAGTTATGTATTTAATGCAACATTTAAAAAGCCAATGAGGTTGCTATCTGCTAAATAGGGTAATTAATGCTATATATTACTTATGTTTGTCCAAATGAAGGAATGAAATTAGGAGGATGATGAGGACGACGACCGAGTCGCCGTTTATCTGTGGCAGTGCGGCTCCAGCTCACAAACTTCATTATTAGTCCCCCCCTTCTATAATCTGCCCTCTTTATTTCTCTTTCTATAGTCCCCCCCTTCTATAATCTGCCCTCAAATTACTCCTTTATTTCTCTTTCTGCACAAATTCTCATTGACTAAGCAGCCAGTCATTACCGTCGCTGTCGTTTGTCGGAATTTGTTCCAAAACTTTTATTCCCCCTTCCTGAAATGCGCAAGAATTTTAAATCCTGTCCAAAACGGTTTGCTGCAAAACGCAGTGTGAAGATGTGTAAATAAGACTGGGTATGGAGAGTTACTGCGTGTTCATTCAGTCAATTAAATGCTTTTCCTGGGTCAGCTGTAAGAATGGACACATGTTGTTTCACTACTCTCTCAGCGAGCACTGCTGTGATGATGGGCTTAATGAAGCAGTTAACAGTCAGAATATGATCCCAGTGTGTCTGTTGAACATGAGCATCCTGCAGTGTCAACACGGCTGTGTTTGGGCTGGTTCTCCCGTTTCCCCCTTTCTTACCTCTTTTAATTGTCGCACACACACACCCACACACTCGCTCACACACAAGGCCCGTGCACACTTACCTTGCCCTTGACTGTGGCTTGGCTCAGTGATATTAATGTTTATTTTAATCGGATCACACCAACAAATGATTACATTTGCAGACAGGGTTATTGTAACGCCGTAGCCACTAGCTTATTTTGCCCAGTGAATGTAATTTGGAGCAGATGTGATTTTATGAATGCATTGTAATTACATGAGGAAACAACAATACCATTATGAATATACAATCTTTGTGAACATAATGTGTTGTGTGTTCACAATATGAGCTGGAAGAGTGATTGTGCGACCCGCTCTTTTCATTTCCCACCTATTCTGCCGTCTTTGCAGGAGTTCCTGACCTGTGTGGAGTCACATCGACAGAGAGGCCACGTCATTTTTGAGAAAATGAAAACAAATCACTTACAGGTTTGGTAGAATTGTTGCCGAAAAACTCACCTGAAATACCTGGTGTTAAAAAAGCCAGAATTAGATTGGTAATAATCTTCATCTGTATCACAGCTACAGGCCAGTGACTGGGAGCGAGTGAGCTCAAAGTGGCTGAGTCTTGAAGCAGAGCTGCTGAGGGAGAGAGCTTTTTTTGGACCCGGACCAGGAGTTCTGCTCAAACAAGACTGGGTCCAAGATGCGGCCGAGGGACCCAACAGGACCAGATTACGGCTACGCAGAAAGGCACTACGACGATCCAGACAGGTGTAACCTTTCAGTCTAACACAGACTACAAACAAGTGACTGTTTCAGTACTGTGATGTCAACCTATCAACAACACACATTTACTTCAAGACTAAGGACACAGTGGAAGAGTGGTTATTGCTCTTGCCTTACAGTTGGATGATTGCAGGTTCACTGGTTTAATCCCCAGTCTTTCTGTATGGACTGGTGAACCAAAAAAAAATTGAAAATATAAAATAAAAATATTGAAATGGATTAGCTAGTAACAGAAGAGTATGGGTAGTGATGCCTTCACTGTCCTAGAACAGAGACGATCAGTAGATTTAGTTGTACTGTTGAGCTGATCTAAAAAAAATAGAAGACAATATAATGCTATGAACTCATGCTGGAAAAATATTAAAACACACATGATTTAATTAGAAATATTGCATTTTGTATGCATTTTTTAACGGTAAAGCATATAGGTGTTTTTATTTTATTTTATTCACATATTTCACCTGATGACTGTCCATATTTAATACATGTAAATGTTGTTCCTACAGATCCTGGGAAGAATGAGTCTGGGTTTAAGGACTGGTGCATCTGAGGAAACTACCAGTAAAACAGATGACACAGGTTCATTTTTTTTCACTTTTTATTCTGTAAAGAGTGTTGAATGAACATTGAGTTCAACGCTTTATTTAATCATTTCCATTAAACAGAGGCTGAGACCGTGTTTGAAGTTGGCGCCGAAGCAAAGGAGGATTTCGAGGAGGGTGAAAAGGATCGCCTGACCTTTTTCCCAGTTTTAAATGAAACACCTGCGCTTACTGACAGTCTCCACGACTCCACGCCCCCCAGACCCTGCTCCCAAAGACAAGACTGCTCTGACCTGCGCGTAATCATGCAGGAGTTGCACCCAGAAGAAAAGGTACTGCAGCATAAAAGTGTTGGATGGCCTAAAAAAACACACTGCATAAACACAAACACAACTCCCCTCCACCCAACTAATATCCACAGTTCTAATTATGTGGTGCAGAGAGAGGGATTCCAGTAGCCCAGCGCTGCTATCAGAATTTCATCTTTCCTCATTAGTGTAATGTTTTAATGTTGAGGCCCAGCTCAGCGCTTCTCATTCTTCCTGTGAGTTAGAAAAACCAAAGAACATGTTGACGGGGACTCTCATCGCTCCGGCAACATGCAGCGGCTTTTAATGTTTCTGACAGAAGTATTAATAAAAACAGTAGGAGGTGATGCAAGCTGTCTTGCATCTGCTTAGTAAGTGTGTGTGATGTGTGCTCGTGTGTCCTGTTGTCTAGCCGCGGCTCATTGTGCGAATCCTGCTGAGCTTCCTGTCAAATGAACACAGTCATTAGCCCTGAAAAATGCACGCACACATACACACGCATATATAAAAGTTACACACAAAGGGAGAGCCGCTCATAATTAGCTTGCCAGCGCCGATAGTGTGATTATGACAGTAATGTGTATGGGGAGAAATCAATGGCCTGACATTAGGCTCTCAGTCAATAAAAGTGCTCCTTTTCTCTCCTTCTCACCGTCAGCGGCTGAACCACCATCAGACTGATGAAGCGTTTCTGTCCGGCACAGCGTGGAGATACGGAAACACGTTTATTTTTTTAAACTATTTATTTATTTTAATTGCAATAAATTAGCAGCATGGGTCTGAAATGGAGGCACTGTTTAAAACAACAGGCCTGATGTTGGTGTCGCTGCACTCGACCTCCGTGTGAAGAGTGTGTGTGTGTGTGTGTGTGTGTGTGTGTCATGTACTTGAGACTCACTCACCTTGATAAGAGATATTGTCTGTTGAAGTGTGTGCAGTCAGACCAGAGGTTCTGATCACTTAGCAGGTTTCCTATTGTGTGTGGCAGTGATTAATTCTTCTAATAATGGCCAGGCTGGGCCTCCTCCTCCTCCTCCTCCTCCTCCTCCTCGTCCTTCTCCTCCTCCTCTACCACCAACTGTGTGACTAGATGTGTGCAGGTAAAGAGTCTGATTTGATTAGTATAAATTGTAAAGGCCCCGGGGCCGTGGTGGGGCCCCATATGGTTTTTGGGCACCGTGTCCCAGAGGGCCCGCGGAGGGGCCGAGTCAGGGAGACGGCCAGGTGCACACACTCACTGTGAAATGAGGGGAGACAATAGAATTAGCCACACATTATCACACCGCACTTAGCGTTAGCCGCGACTAGCGCTGAAAGCGGCCACGTGGGTCCACGCGGGTGCAGAGTGAAACACATGGTCACGGCGCTGAAAAAGAAGCCTTCTGCTCCTCATCAATCAGCTCTGATAATGAAGTGTTCAACTGTGTCTTTTTAATAAAGATTAAAATATGTGATTAAAATGATCAATCACACGCTGACTGAAGCGCTTGCCTGGGTCCTGTGTCACCTCCCGGGAGACAGACGTCTCACAGGGGACCTAATGTATCTCTATCTCCTTCTATGCATCTGTAAGGTTAAAGCCAAGATGTCTGTGGTGATGGTGAGCGGCCTCAGAGTGGCAGAAGGAGTGCTGCTGTTCAGCAAAGACGCGTTACTTCTGTGTGAGGGCTTCACGCTCAATCCATCTGGAGATGTGTGTTGCAGGAAACACCACCCCAGCAGGTGGGTCTGCACGGAACAGTTGGAGCAGTTTACTTATTATAATTCTTATTATCCACTGATTTTTTTTTCCTGCTGTCTTGGTCAGTGTCAAGGACTCCTTCATGTCCACCATGCTGAGTAAAGAGCTGTCTCCAGCCCGCTGCAGAAGCTGGCTCTATGAGGACATCAAGGAGGCTCACTTCATGAGTTTCCTCTTGGAGGTCAGACATTTTTTATTTTTTATTTTTAAATTAAAATATGCAGAGACATTTTGGATTTCACCATATTAGACTTTATAGAGGCGTCTATGAATTATTCTGTTTATTTTCCCGCTTGTGACGTTAACAATTTAAATTAAAAGTGCAAAAATAATATTGTAACTGTACTGCAGGGCCACACAGTAAATCAATGGTTGCCTGTTAAATCGCTGCCTGATTTCATAAAACATGTCACTTCAGGAAAAGGACAAAAACAAAAAAGAAACAAAAAAGAGTCATAAGGACAGACTATGGCACAAAAAGTATTTGTAAATCACAAAAGTATTATGTTGAATTTATCCATTTTCCCCTGTCTTTCAGGACAATGCCATAGAGGTTTTCATGAATAACGGACACTCAGTATTCCTGGTTTTTCTAAACAAAGACCATGTCAATGCCTATAAAAGGTAACACTTATACAGAGTCTTTTTGTTTTCTTCATTTCTTACCATCATACCTTTACATACTCTCATACTCATACTGTCTTCCTGCAGACTTTGCTCATTGGTGCCAGCATTAAAAGGCAGAGGGTCTGCTGAGATCATCGCTAACGCCAGGTAGGAACCGTCATCACAGTCTAACAACACAATTAGTCACCAAGCAGCCAGCTGCTTTTCTAACGTGTAAAGTGGATCAAATTAATGTGATTTAAAAAAAAAATCTAATTTAATTTTATATAATTGAATTAAGGGATTTAACAGACCAGTCTTCAGTGGGTTCCACGAAATTTATATATATATATATATAGATGAGAAAAACTTAAATAAAAGTAAACTGTTGAACTGACTGTATTTATTTTAGCAGAGCACAAACGAACCAAAATCACACAAGATGCATTGTAAAAAAAAAGAGAAATTAAAAAAAACTCTAATTCTGATCCATTACCATAACACACACACATAACACACACACAGAAATAAACACATGTGCATACCAATTATTCCAGTCTAATCAAGCAGCACTGAAGCTACTGGAGATGCTGACCAATCAGCAGTCAGCTCCAGATGTGTGCCAATTGCTTTCCTAATCAAAGGAACTGTTACCTTTAAAAAAGAAAACAACGTTTGTACTCCCCCTCTGTCTCCCCTTCGTTTTCCATTAGTTTTTTCCCTGTGGTATGGTCCCATCTCCCACAGTTCCAAAGGTCCAACGCCACCTTTTCAGGCCAGTCGTGACACGTGATCAAAATGTGTTCAACTGCTTAGAACCGGCCCACGTTTGTATCCTGTAAATGTACGAGACGTTACAGCCTCGTGCTCACGTCTGGTCCGTCTTGCGTATCCTCCACTCGTCCTGATTGACTTTAGCCACCGAGTTCGGCACAATCAGGCCGACGTACCTCCTTTTCTCCTCCACCATCTCAACCTCGCTGTCTCCTTCGGAGTCTTCACTCCCACACATGCTGCCGTCTTCTTTTTTCCGTCCTTTTTTCTTTCTGTCTTTCCTAACTTTTTTTTCCAGTTCTTCCGCCTGGATGCCGGACAGAGGATTGCGTCTTACGTTTATCTTAATCAGGTTCGGTAACGTGGTCACATAATCCGGCAGATTGATGAACTGGTTATCAAACAGGCCCAGGTCTTCGAGGTTATTCAACGCCTCCAGGGTGGACGGCAGAGAGTCCAGCTTGTTTAAACCCAGATTGAGAGTCTTGAGGTTGGCGAGGGAGCCCAGTGTGGAGGGCAAACCCTCCGAGGTGATGTAGTTGTTAGAAAGGTTGAGGTGGGTCAGTGCTGCCATGTTCCCAATAGATTCTGGCACAGACTCCAGTTTGTTGGTGTGGAGGTCCAGCAGTTTGAGGGACTTTAAGTCCCCAATGTTTTTGGGAAGTTCCTTGATCAGGTTTCTGCTGAGGTCCAGCTCGTCAACATTGGGCAGTTTGAGGAGACAGTCAGGGAATTTGGTCAGACGCATTTTGCTGAGGGTGAGTCTGCGCACTCCATCTGCTGTGACCTCCACTGCCTTTTTGGCAGCCTGAAGGGTCAGCTCGTTACCCTTCTTCTTTTTCCCTTTAGGCATGGTACTAAAAACACAGAAGTTAACGAACAGTTTAAAAAACAAGATGAAATAAAAATGGATGAAATGTCACTCTAACCCAGATGTGGATGAGTCCGTACGACATCAAAGGCAGGGTTATAAGACTGCATGAACACAATCAGCTTTGAAGAACCTTTGATCTGAGAAGCTTGCATCATACAGATGAATCATATACAAATGTATCAGTCCACCTTAACAGAGTATATCCATGGAGCAAACAGTCCTTCTGAAATACTAAATAGATTAACAGGCTTTTTCTGTATTCAAAAAAGTATATTATAGAACTTTATTTAGACAGAAAAAATGTGGACACCTCAAAAAGTGACTGGAAAATGTAGAAAGTTGGAAGTGGTCCAACATCTCAACAGGGGCTTTAGCCAAATCAGTCTAATTTTTTAAGGCAAGAAAAACTTGATTACAGGGTTTTCAACATTGGGTCAGTGACCCACATGGGGTCCCCAACAGTATTGCATTGCACAAGTTTTTGTTTGGTTACACAATTATTCATACTTTTTTTTTTTACATTTTTCACACAAATTAAAGTACATGTTTATTATTTGAATAGCTTAATATTTAATATTAAATAAAATAAAAAGTTCAATTTAAAAATACCACTTTTGTTTCTTTTAAATGTTTGCTATTACTGTTGTAAAGTAAAACAAAGTACTTCTCTAAATCAATGTGTGTATACTTATGTTTAAGTATGTGTGTTCAGGGCGTGATGTAATTTATTCAAATACGAGGGCTTATGTATGGCCCAGGGCAGTGAGGAAAGCATGCTCTCTGAGGAATGAGAGCCTGAGCATTGTGTGTGTGTCACTGTGTGTGTGTGTCATTGTGTTGTGTCTGTAGGAGTGCGTGCTCACCCGGTGTTGCCCATGGGGGTATTTAAGAGCATGACTCTCTAATTAAGGCTAATGCAGGGGAACAATAGGAGAGAGAGGCGACGCTGGATAATACAGCAGAAACAAATGAGTGTTGATGCTCCCTCACCCAGCTACTGATTGAGCCGTTTGCTTCCTTTCAGGCGTGTGTGTGTGTGTGTGTGTGTCTGTGCGTGTGTGTTGAAGCCAACATCACACGTGTGTGTTGGCAGACATGGTTGTACTGTACTGGTGTACGTGTCCGTGTGTGAAGAGTCAAAGCAGGACTTTGATAAATGATAGTTGAGCAGTGTTGGAAGTGTGATGAGGGCGGCGCTCTCTTCTCCCCTCCCTGTCTAAAGGAGTGTGTGTCTGTTTGTGTCTGTGTTACACCCCAAGGCCCTCTCTCGCCTCATTCATCATCCTCAGGATGAGAGAGGTTATCCACTGGTGCTTGTTCCCATTATAACCTCCTATAGAAAGCTATTGCATGAAATTATTACCTGCAATTAGATAACACACATACCGGGCCAAATGCAATGATTGATTTAGTGTAGTTGTACTAAAAGAATCTGGTCAGGAGTTATTAGACAAGGGGAGGAGTTATTGGTCTCACAAATACCCAGCAACATTTTGGACTTTGTCCACAGGGACCTACAGTAAATAATGTTAAAAATTGTTTTTTTTTTAATCCACAACAGAAAACAGATCAACTTCAAATAATCAGGAGTTTCTTTTGAAAAATTAAATTACACTTAAGTCACTTATGTGAATTTCTAACACAGTTCTTTATTTATAATGAATATTAAATTCACCCACAGTCCAAATTCACTGAAGTTAATGTTGTAGTAATGTTATAGACATAATTACCAATAATTAACTTAGATGTTAGCGCTTGGAATGACTACATTTTAAATTTTAATAAATTACATCTTATCAGAATATTTGGCTTAAACTAAAATCCATGTCCACAAAACAGCCGTTTACCTCGAGCCTTTCTGTCTGTGACAGAAACAACAGTTACACTGTTACCACCTAGTGATTAATCTAATAATGACATTTTCAATCTGGAAAAAATAAAATCTTCATAAAATGTAATAAGAATAAGAGAATATTCCCTAAAATTACCTGGTACCAGAGGATAGTTGAGGAAGAGGTCAGGAATGAACATTTCCCCAGTCTCTCCTCCACCAAACACAGAAAGTCCAGGTTCCTCTTGTTTAATAACGTTACTTAGCAACTGTGGTGCTTGGCGCCAGGACTTTATTACTGTGTTACTGGCCCACAGAGGGAGAAGAGATTTCAGGAGCAGTTTGAACCCTTTCCCAATTTAGATTGAACAAGTTCAGACGGCTGTCCTGTGAGTAAAATACAAAATAAAATGTTCAGGAACACGGTCCTTAACAAAGTGAACACTTCTTCCTCAGCTGTTCCCTGTACAGCAGCAAACCGTGATGATGGTCTGACTGTTACAGCCAAAAAGATTTGATTTACTCCTTTTAAGAATTTTCTTCTGCATCATCATTTCCCCTTTGACCTCACAGGGACACGGCTCTGAACATCTGCCATCTATCAATACATAATCACTGCAGTTGATTGGCAATTAGCAAATTACACCAGGATTAATCCACATTCCTAAATATGACAAAACATCTTCTGTTTTGGATAAAAACAAACAAACAGCAGGAAAATATTTTTATTTTTTACTTGATTGAAATTATGGAATTATTAATGGGAAAAATGTCTGGAAAACAATGTCTGGTGTTGAGATACACTGAGCTGAAGTTGCTTTGGAGAAACTCTTTTCTCTTTTATGTATGTTAGAGCCATTATAAATGTACAATGTCTGGATGATTTTTCTATGTTTTATATGAAGAGAAGATTTCCTGGTGGCCTACAGATGGCACCAAGTACTTCATGTACACTCCATACTGCAGCTCCCCTCAGTCTCCTAACGGCTAATACAGCTGTGTATACACATTTACTTTCTGGAATCACTCACTCATCTCCACTCCGCCGCCACTGTTGCGTTTCCATCAGCGGTTGCTAGGTAACAGAGTAGGAAATAAAAACTTTGTGCTGGCAGGTAGCTGCTCACCGACGCTGATTCAACGTTTGTTTTTATTGTGTTTCAGAAAGACTCCTGTGGTTGAAAAGGCAGCTCTGGTTAAATGGCAGGTAATTCAATGAACACGGTTTAGTGCTTGGGATTTTTATGTGTTTATTTGTGTATACTGGGTATAAAGTGTTTGCCTGTGTTCCAGAAAGGGGAGATCAGTAACTTTGAGTACTTGATGCATCTGAACACCATCGCTGGACGGACGTACAACGACCTGATGCAGTACCCAGTATTTCCCTGGGTCTTAGCAGACTACCACTCAGAGGTAACGTTTATAGTGCACATTAAAATGTCTGACCGCATGTTTTTAAAAAGCAAACAACCTATTAAGTTAAAGTTAGGTCCAGGAATGTGGAGATGTGGAAAATCTGATAAATCCCAGAAACCTAGAAACTTTCTAGGAGAGATTTTATGGAAACCTAATTCCCAGTAATTATTCAGATTGCACTAAATGAACTGAAATTAATAGAATTTTTTTTTGTTATTGTACAGTATTATACACAAGCCTTAAATAAAGTATTGTGTGTTTTAATAAGCTGATGTACATGCATATAATTCTAATACAATACAAAATGTATTAAAAGCCCATCAAAAGCAAAACATAAATGTTATAATGATTTTTTTAAATTATTTGTATTAAAAGAGACTTTCAACTTATTTTTCAAAAAGTTGTTTTTCAATCTTTTATTGCAGAATGTTTCTTCTCATTCATGTTCAAAAACCTTAAAACTTGAGGTTGAGGTTTTAGCAGCCCAGGTCAGGAGTGTGGTTCCAGTCATCATTATGAACCGTGCTCATGTTTTATCCTCATCCAACCTCTTTTTCTCCCTCTGCAGACACTTGATCTGTCAAATCCTGCAACTTTCCGTGATTTGTCCAAACCAATGGGAGCTCAGACGGAGAAAAGGAAACAGATGTTTATCCAGAGATATGAGGAGGTGGAGAACAGCGAGGGTGAAGGTGTGTGTGTGTGTGTTTGTCCTGGAACTAATGTTTTTATTCATCTTTTCTCTTTGCAGCATTTTCTTCTTATTCAGTTTGTCCAATATGTCAGTTATCCCGATGAATAAAACTCTTCCTCTTCTTCTTCTTCTTCTTCTTCTTCTTCTTCTTCTTATAATAATAATGATGTATAAATGCCTCTCTCTGCAGGAGAATTGTCAGCTCAGTGTCACTACTGTACCCACTACTCCTCAGCCATCATCGTGGCGTCCTACCTTGTCAGAATGGAACCGTTTTCACAGACTTTCCAGGCTCTGCAGGTTAGTCCAACGGAATCTCCAAAGATATATATATATATATATATATATATATATATATATATATATAAATA